TGGAGGCGTCAAAAAACTTTGCGGGATTATATCGCCAGATGTAATGGATTATCCCATGCACGCTCACGCATGTTAACAATGGAATTACAGCCAACGGCAATTATGCACCGCTTTAATAATTAAAATCCTACAGCGCAAGATCGCTCAGGCTTTGTGTATGAACAGACCGACCAGCTGCTATTAACTTTTTTTCTCCCATAATTGGAAGCAGCGTTTTATTACACCAGGTCACTACCACTGTTCAGTCCCCTTCCACTTTTTAATCCTCTTTTCTTTACACTCGAAGCACAAACACCAAGAATCGTGGAACGGCGATGTTAAACTGTTACTAGCCCGTGATGGCGATGACGATTACAATTTAACAATCATACATATGCATTCTTTAAATGTAAGATATATTTAACTTGTGAAAATAGATGACATTTATGCTCACGCCAGTTTTAATAACGGGGCAAGTTTATTTAATTCCGCCCCCACTGCCTCTGTCCACCCAGCGATGTTAACAGCTACGCCACAGTCAGTCCATCGGCAGGTCACGCGTGGTTGGATAAAGTGCGGGAACTTCTACCACTTACATTATGTCTGTCCTGTGTGGAAGAGGACAACATACCCTGTAAACGAAACAATTATTTCATTTACCGGGTAAGGTGCCACTGAGCGACGTAGCTCTTTTTCAGAAGCAACCGTGGCCACAAATGATAGATCAACGAAGTGGATTACCATGCGGAAATGTAAAGCAGCTAAATCATCTAGAGGCATGATTTTAAATGTGGATGAAAAACTCGGGAGGACCTGGAGAAAAATCCACGTGACCACGGGGAGAACACGCAAACTCTAAATATGCATGCGTCAGGGTCGGGCTCGAATCCACGACCTCCTGTATACCAGGCGAAGGAGTTAACATCTCCTAGCCACCGTGGCGCCCCCTGTAGAGTGGCCGTCTGGAGCTCCCTCTAGTGGAGCAAGCAATTGCAGAATTATTTATTTGAAGTGTACATACAACACAGAATGCTAAATATATTCAGCCAAAAACATTGTGCGTAGCTTATTTTAACCGTAGTATTTACCAATTTTACGCTAAATTAATTTCACGAGGATTTCACATTGAAACTTATTCGGTATGTTTTTTTTCTTGGGGGGGGGGGCGGGGCAGTTGTGTATTGGTTTGTTTGCGTTTTTAAGTGCAATAAAACCCAAGTTATTAAATATTGTTACTTTCAAGATTGTATTGCAACTTCCGATGCCAGAGAACTCCTTTATTGCCATGCGTGGCTGTGCATCTAGAGTTATTTTATATATATACACACAGTATTGGGTGCAACTGTGAACAATAGCCATATCAGACATTGCTACATGGAATCGGCATAACCATTAGTTCACTGCAGTAGTCCTACAAGGCGTGTGGGGAAGTTAGGAGGTGTCCACGTGCTCGGCATTTGAGGGCCTGAAGACCAGAATCAGTGATCTCTTCGACAATGTGTTCATCTGGGAGGTTTGTTGAATATCCGGACGGCAGAGTGAAGTGATCTTCTGTCCAGGGAGAAGATCACTTCACTCTGCCGTCCGGCAACTGGGGGGAGGGGTGGGCAAGGGCGCGGCTTGGCAGGGGTTGTGCACAATCGGGTGCCACGGCGTCTTTCACATGGGGGTGAAAGCGTCGCCTGAAAGTCTGTGGGGGGGGGGGGGGGGCAGTGGTTGGTGTGCATTGGACTGTGACAGCAGCAACAGCATGCAAGGAGGTCTCGCATGGTGCACATGTCACAGCATGTAACCCTAAACAAGCTTTGCTTTTACCGTATTTCAATTCTTACGTTACCATGTAACATTTTGTTCTAGAATTCATCTGAATGTTTACAATTTTAATTGATTCCATGTTTTTTTTCTTATCCCAGCATTTTCATTCGTCATAATTTGAAGCCATTTGCCAATGCACTGCCACACACACACACATGCTTTTCCGCGCCATGTTGCTCAAGGGCGTTGTTTGACTTCACTTCCCATATAAACATGGGAGCATAGAAGTGCAGTCTGACAACGGGCTTTTTCCTGGACTGTCCTCTACTGCCCAGCACAGCACCGCAAGCTCATTAGCTCTGACCCAGTAGTTCTTTACCTGGGGTGCACGCATCGGTGCGAGATGCCCTTTCCGGGGGTGTGAGACATGACCAGCTTTTATTTTAGAAGGTAAATCATCGAAACACACATTAATCACGTGCACGTAAGTACAACTATTGTGTTTCATCAAACCTGTGTATTTACTAACATAAGCGTTTTACCGATTGAGAACCAAAGAGGTGTAAGGGTGCAGTAAAGGTTAAGAACCAATGCTCGATAACAACAACAACAACAACCTGTTTGTGCATGGAGGTCACCCAACGAAGCAATATCCAGGCGAAACCTATGCTTAGCTTCAGAAATCTGACAAGATCGGGACTATTTCGGGTGATTTGGAGGCACGTGCAAATGTAAAGCCGTGCAATCGTTTGCTCACTCCACCGCTGGCAAAAGCCTCTCAGCTAGGGAGAGCTCTTCAGTACGGGTTGGCGGAACACGGTGTACATACAGTGAGGGAAAAAAGTATTTGACCCCCTGCTGATTTTGTACGTTTGCCCACTGAAAAAGAAGTGACCAGTCTATAATGTTAATGGTAGGTTTATTTGAACAGTGAGAGACAGAATAACAACAAAAAAACTCCAGAAAAACGCATGTCAAAAATGTTAGAAAATTGATTTGCATTTTAATGAGGGAAATAAGTATTTCACCCCCTCTCAATAAGAAAGATTTCTGGCTCCCAGGTGTCTTTTGTACAGGCAACGAGCTGAGATTAGGAGCACACTCTTAAAGGGAGTGCTCCTAATCTCAGCTTATTTCCTTAAAGCACATATACATGTCCATCTGAAGTTTGCCAATGAACATCTGAATGATTCAGAGGACAAATGGGTGAAAGTGTTGTGGTTAGATGAGACCAAAATGGAGCTCTTCGGAATCAAATCAACTTGCCGTGTTTGGAGGAGGAATGCTGCCTATGACCCCAAGAACACCATCCCCACCGTCAAACATGGAGGTGGAAACATTATGCTTTGGGGGTGTTTTTCTGCTAAGGGGACATGACAACTTCACCGCATCAAAGGGACGATGGACGGGGCCATGTACCATCATCTCTTGGGTTAGAACCTCCTTCCCTCAGCCAGGGCATTGAAAATGGGTCGTGGATGGGTATTCCAGCATGACAATGACCCAAAACACACGGCCAAGGCAACAAAGGAGTGGCTCAAGAAGAAGCACATTAAAGTCCTGGAGTGGCCTAGCCAGTCTCCAGACCTTAATCAAATAGAAAATCTGTGGAGGGAGCTGAAGGTTCGAGTTGCCAAACGTCAGTCTCGAAACCTTAATGACTTGGAGAAGATCTGCAAATAGGAGTGGGACAAAATCCCTCCTGAGATGTGTGCAAACCTGGTGGCCAACTACAAGAAACGTCTGACCTCTGTGATTGCCAACAAGGGTTTTGCCACCAAGTACTAAGTCATGTTTTGCAGAGGAGTCAAATACTTATTTCCCTCATTAAAATGCAAATCAATTCATAACATTTTTGACATGCGTTTTTCTGGATTTTTTTTGTTGTTATTCTGTCTCTCGCTGTTCAAATAAACCTACAATTAAAATTATAGGCTGATCATTTCTTTGTCAGTGGGCAAACGTACAAAATCAGCAGGGGATCAAATACTTTTTTCCCTCACTGTATAAACATGGGAGCATAGAAGTGCAGTCTGACAACGGGCTTTTCTTGGGTAACTTGGCCGATATTAGAGGGGTTTTTTTGGGGGTCAGATCGCGCAAATATATAAATGTGTCGTTGGCTGTGTTGGGTGGTGGCAGGTTTTAACGACACATTTATATATTTATGTTATCTAACCCCCCCCCAAAAAAACCTCTATTTTGGATTAAATTGGTCGCGAAAGCCTACTACGTGTTCAACTAACTTGGCCAAGTCATCCACGCGGGCCAGACGACTTGAACGAGGTGAGACGATCCGCGTTTTACACCCCAGCACACACACACACACTGCCAACAGAAGGTTCGTGTGACACCGATTGGGTCTGGGTTAATGGTACATCGCAAACATGCGAAGAGTTTGGCGTGAACGGGCAGACTCGTGCAGTTCCAGTGTCGGCGTTATCGAGGCAGAGATTGATGTTGCATTACCGGCTGGGATTTTAAACTCCGCTCCTGACTGCCGAAGAAAATCTACTCATTACACGATGCAACGTTTGAGATATTTGCTGCTTGAATTCTCGCCGTCATGAGGAGCTACTCGTCATACATTTATAAGCAACAGCGTTCAGATTGCTGTAATCCACTCGGAGGCGCCACTGTGTACTGACCTTTCTGACCCACTCACTGCAAACATCACTCTAATGAATGTCTTGTGAGGAGCAGCTCACAATGTACTGGCGGCTTTTGCTTGCATTGTAATTATGTTGTGAACAAAGCGGGTACACACTAAATGCCTGACTATCATCGATAACGTCCGCGTTTCGCTTAGCCTCCACTCACAAGGGCATCAAATGGACCCACCCTCTAAAAACGAAAGCGGGCTTTACAACATCACACCGTTATTATAATCAGTGGCCATGATCAACCCACTGCTGGGTGGGAGTCCTCACCAAAGCGATTGTAGAATTCCTACCACTGGCTCAAGGCCATCAATGGATAAGACCATTGGTCCCATGCCCATTTTAATAAAAACGATGTGCTCCGTCCTCGTTATCAAACGCTCCGTGCATTTAACAACGAGGAACAGATTCGTGATCACGACTCACCCACAGAGACCTCCACCAAGCACGCCTCCGTCTCTGCGCTTTAACCGATACGCCGAACAGCTCCCGTGCGCGTTGCCACCTGTCCAACATTGTTGCACGAGGGAGGTGGTGGTGGGGAGGGGGGTAAAACAAACATACACACAGAAACGATCAAAGCACGTGGTGGTTCCCGCTTCGCAGGAAAACCCGTACCTCTGCAACCTGTGCGACGCAAGCACTCCACAGCTTTCACACCCGGCTGAGCTCATGTTCGACTCGGAGCCAGCGCTCGGCTCGCCGGCCTACGGCGGCGGTCACGGCGGCGGCCACGTCGGCGGCCACGTCGGGGCGCAGGGCGGCCTCTCCACCTACTGGCAGAGCGTCTCGTGGCGCCGCCACCCTGAGCCGCTGCGGGTCAACATCACGATGTCGTGGGGCAAGACGATCGAGCTGACGGACGACGTCGTCATCACGTTCGAGTCGCGGCGGCCCAGCGCCATGGTGCTCGACAAGTCGCTGGACTACGGGCGCACGTGGTCGGCCGTGCAGTACTACGCCGACGACTGCCACGAGCTCTTCCGCCGCGAGGCGCGCCGAGCCCTGGACCTCACGCAGGCGTCGGCCACGCAGGTCATCTGCACCGAGGAGTACTCGCGTAGCTTCGTGGCCAAGCAGGACCGCACCGTGCGCTTCGAGGTGCTCAACCGCACGGCGCTCTTCGCCGGCGTCGGCCTCCGCAACGTGGCGTCGCTGTACGCGAGGCTGGACGGGGACGGCGAGCTCCGCAGGTTCTTCACGCTGACGGATCTGCGCGCGCGACTGCTGCAGCCGGCCACCGGCGACACGTTCATCGACAAGGAGAACCTCAAGAAGTACTACTACGCCGTCTCCAACGTGCAGGTTCGCGGCAGGTGAGCCCGGTGGTCGGGGTGGTTGGGGTGTTGGTGATCTAAGCGTGCGTGCGTGTGTGTAGCGGGAGGTATTGTACAGTCGGCGCCTATTCAAGCCGCACTGGAATACAGGTAGCGGTGAGCCCAAGGCGATGCTGGGACGCCCCGTGTCTACCCACGACTGATGTTCACACACATCACACGAAACGTGTCGCAGGCCAGGTGAACCTGACGGAGGGCCAGTGGAGGAGGTTCCTTTGCCGCTGTTATCGGTCGAACGGGCTCAGCGGCGCAGCGAACTAACTAACCGCTTCTCGACACCAAAGCTCCCCCGTGTAGCCTGTTACAGACTGTAGGGGCAAGTGCTGTTAGCGAGCAGCACCTGTGAACGCCGGCACGGCACACGAGGGGGTGGGTGGCCAGCACCTCGCCCGGCCGCCTTTGTCTCACTCAGTGGCGATGTCGCGAGGCTTTGTAACGCACCACCGCCACAGCTCCTCACACACACCATACAGGTACAGTGAGGGAAAAAAGTATTTGATCCCCTGCTGATTTTGTACGTTTGCCCACCGACAAAGAAATTATCAGTCTATCATTTTAATGGTAGGTTTATTTGAACAGTGAGAGACAGAATAACAACAACAAAATCCAGAAAAAACGCATGTCAAAAATGTTATAAATTGATTTGCATATTAATGAGGGAAATAAGTATTTGACCCCCTCTCAATCAGAAAGATTTCTGGCTCCCAGGTGTCTTTTATACAGGTAACGAGCTGAGATTAGGAGCACACTCTTAAAGCGAGTGCTCCTAATCTCAGCTTGTTACCTGTATAAAAGACACCTGTCCACAGAAGCAATCAATCAGATTCCAAACTCTCCACCATGGCCAAGACCAAAGAGCTCTCCAAGGATGTCAGGGACAAGATTGTAGACCTACACAAGGCTGGAATGAGCTACAAGACCATTGCCAAGCAGCTTGGTGAGAAGGTAACAACAGTTGGTGCGATTATTCACAAATGGAAGAAACACAAAAGAACTGTCAATATCCCTCGGCCTGGGGCTCCAAGCAAGATCTCACCTCGTGGAGTTGCAATGATCATGAGAACGGTGAGGAATCATTCCATAATTACACGGGAGGATCTTGTCAATTATCTCAAGGCAGCTGGGATCATAGTCACCAAAAAAACAATTGGTAACACACTCTTTGGTTCTATTGGGTAAAGTCACGTAGGTGAAAATAAAATAACAAAAAATAACAAAAAATCACGACGTTTCGGCCACAACACGAGCGGCCTTCATCAGGTGAAGGGACGAGACTGTCTGAAGGACAGCGCTGGAGTGGAAGAAGCCACGCTTAGATCACGACCTTTAAGCTGTGTGAGAAGAAAAAGACCACGCACCTTGACAAAGGAATTAGCATATAATTTAGCATTGAAATGGCTCATTTAAATCTAGAATTGGTAACACACTACGCCGTGAAGGACTGAAATCCCGCAGCGCCCGCAAGGTCCCCCTGCTCAGAAAGCACATATACATGCCCGTCTGAAGTTTGCCAATGAACATCTGGATGATTCAGAGGACAACTGGGTGAAAGTGTTGTGGTCAGATGAGACCAAAATGGAGCTCTTTGGCATCAACTCAACTCGCCATGTTTGGAGGTGGAGGAATGCTCCCTATGACACCAAGAACACCATCCCCACCGTCAAACATGGAGGTGGAAACATTATGCTTTGGGGGTGTTTTTCTGCTAAGGGGATAGGACAGCTTCACCGCATCAAAGGGACGATGGACGGGGCCATGTACCGTCAAATCTTGGGTGAGAATCTCCTTCCCTCAGCCAGGGCATTGCAAATGGGTCGTGGATGGGTATTCCAGCATGACAATGACCCAAAACACACGGCCAAGGCAACAAAGGAGTGGCTCAAGAAGAAGCACATTAAGGTCCTGGAGTGGCCTAGCCAGTCTCCAGACCTTAATCCCATAGGAAATCTGTGGAGGGAGCTGAAGGTTCGAGTTGCCAAACGTCAGCCTCGAAACCTTAATGACTTGGAGAAGATCTGCAAAGAGGAGTGGGACAAAATCCCTCCTGAGATGTGTGCAAACCTGGTGGCCAACTACAAGAAACGTCTGACCTCTGTGATTGCCAACAAGGGTTTGCCACCAAGTACTAAGTCATGTGTTGCAGAGGGGTCAAATACTTATTTCCCTCATTAAAATGCAAATCAATTTAGAACATTTTTGACACGCGTTTTCCGGATTTTTTTGTTGTTATTCTGTCTCTCACTGTTCAAATAAACCTACCATTAAAATTATAGACTGATCATTTCTTTGTCAGTGGGCAAACGTACAAAATCAGCAGGGGATCAAATACTTTTTTTCCCGTCACTGTAGATATCACGGCCCTCTTGTCAACTCCCTGCTGGATGAGGCCCTACCCACGGCGCACGAGTTTTTTTTTTTTTTGGGGGGGGGGGTGTACCTGATCATACTTTACCACGCTAGCCAGTGAGGGTTGCGTGAAAGCAGGGAGCGTAGAAATGCAGTCAAACGATGGATATTGCTGCACTGATTTATTCTTACTGCCCATCACGTGGACGCGCAGCCTTTCACACCGATTGTGCATTGAGTGTGCACGGTGGTCGCACCCATCCACACCAAACGATCTCCACGCTCAAGCCCAACACGCGAGACCTGACGAGGCCAGGCGGATTCTGGGTCATGTGGTTTTTCACGGACAACACGTGGAAACCGAAAACAATGGACCTTTACGAACCGCATCAGCCTATGCAGAACATCTGGCGGGATGTTTGCTCTTGCGCGCAATGGGTGCTTGAGAAGTTCCAACAACAACAGCGATATATCCGTCACGTCCAATGCGGGCCGAACCAAATTGTGTGTAATAGCTACAAGGAGTTCATTTACCCGCGTCTAGGGAAAGGTGCTACGAAAAAATGCACTTTCCCGATGATTGTAATTAGAGGAATGGATTCCAGATAGCGTTAGGCGAAATCAGTTGCCCCAGAAATCAATGTCGGGCTGGGGTAGGTAGGGAGGGGAGGGGAATCTGTTCTTCTCAAATACATTCCTGGACCTGTTCTGCGTTTCTAAGGAGGGTGAACAACAAAGCGAAATGCTTGTCTTTGACACCCCCAGTAACATAGTGACTAAGTGTAGGTTACCCTGTTGAATGTTGAGTTAAGCGCACGAATCGCTGGTTTCATTTCAGTCTCGTGCACGCCCCGCAGGCAAGCAGGCTTGCGAGATTGTTTTTTCACGGCTGTCAGATGTGCACGTTTTAAAGCTTATTTTGTATGATGTGCAGGAGACTAACGAAGTCATCTTGTGGCTGCAGAATCTGAAATGAGTTCAAAAGGCCATTGGTTCAATACCTCATGGGAGACCTAAATTAGAAAATCAGTACCCTGCTAATGGCTTTCGACAGATTATATCCACAACATGCCAAAACCTTTTGAGAGTTAAAATTTCGGGCGTTCATTCTACTGAGAGACTGTCTTAAACATCTAATTGACTCTTCCTCTGTTACCGAATGTCGTATCCTTCGTCTAATGAGACATCAAAGAGCATACACCCGACGATGAGAAACGTCACTTGAAAACATACGTTTAGAAAGCACAAGTTCAAACTAATCAATAAATACGCGATAGCTTGGCTAAGTCCACAAAGGCATTTTTTGTTTCACGATACAGTACATATTGTGCACATGGCAGCATTTCTCAGAGCCAAATTTCCACACGTGATGTTTTAGTCAGCGTTAATTCAAAGTGAAGTCTATTTGCTATGGTTCTGCTCGTTGTAGGGGGAAGGGGGGGAGAGAGCTTCTCCTGATTTGCATACGGCTCGATTGAAATAGGTGTTTGCAGCTTTTCCGAGAAGCTATGAATAAGTAATTGTTGTAAATAAATCATTAAGCACGAGCCCCGACATCACGACAGACTGTCTTGCGAAGTCATTTCTCGCTTGGCCTTAAATAAGCTCTGTTGCTTTGCCCCCCCCTGCCCCTCCTCTCTCTCTCTCTGACACTGCGTCTCAAACCCTCATCGCCCCATCCCCACCATCCTCTCTCTGTCACCTCCACAATCACCCCACCCCCAGTATCCCGCACCACCACCACCACCACCCTCTTTAGCGGGAGCTGCGTCACACGTGGATTATTAAACAGGCTGCTGGCACACGAACAAGGGGGGCAACCGGCCACTTCATTAGGGGGGGTGGGCGTGGTGGGGGCACCAGCCGCTAAGTGCATGGGGGGGAGGAGATTATTAAACAGGCAGAGGGCAACACGGTTGCATAGCGAGACTACCGGCACGGCTCCCGACTCACGCGGGGACAGCGGAGGGCAGCAATGTTTTAAGCCCTCTCCCCCCCCCTCATTCCCAACCCCTCTCTCTCTCTCGCGAGGTACCCTAAGATCTTGGCCGCAAGCGGGAGAAGAGAGAGGGGTGGGGTGGGGAGGTCGACTCTGGTGGCTAACGCGGGGATTAGGAAATCAGCCGGGGAGCCCCAAACGTAGCCAATCGGAGCTCGCGGGTTTTGGGTTTGGTGCTTGGCAGGCAGACAGCTGGGGGCCGCGGATCCTGCACGAGCCGCATCTTTTTGTTGTTGTTGCTGCTGCTGTTTACCCCCACCGCTTTAGGTTCCAGTCGCTTAGCGCAACAGCGCAAGGTTAATTGCTCGCAGTTATAAGGCGCAGCAGGTGTTGTAGTTGTTGTTGTAGAAGCACACTTCACTCGGTATGGGAGCTAAATTTTTAACTTAAAACGTCCCTGACTGCAGGAATTCATATTCTTTGGTTCTTTCGGTAAAGTCACGTGGATAGAAAAATAAAAAAATAAAGTTACTAAAAATGATTTAAAATACCGTAGCCTGATTCTAAATTGGTGTGAGTGTACTAGCAGTCTATAATGTAGACTGTAGCCTGGTTCTTAACCTCGGTGAGCGTACTTGCAGTCTATAATGTAGACTGCCAGCATATTTAAATTTTGTATTAACTTTCTTTTTAT